AGTGGTGGCTGTCTCTGGGTGAATTGTGCTTAAGGCCTGTCTGCATAACTTTGGGTCTAGGGGTTCTGAAATGTGTTGAGGCTCCGTACTCTATTAACAATTTGAGAAACTTGAGAGGGGTAGATGCTTACTTTTAAACACAGGCAGTCAATGCCTTGCAGTAGCAAATCTACAGCGAAGGAGATCAGTAAAACTACTACTGGTGGCTGAGGATGTTTCGAGATCTAGAAATTAAACAGAAGGTAAACGGTACGCCTGCCTTGGTGGGCGGCATTAGCCCGTATTACTCCGGTGAAGTCCTTGGTTTAATTTGCGGAGATACTAACCAAAGAGTGTGGTTTTAAAGATTGGCTGAATGCAAGTCGATCAATCATCTTTTTCAACGATTGGATAGAATACTAAAAACCTACCACTCAGAAAAAAGAATTTCCTTAAAACAAGAAAACAGTATCCTTATTTTAGAGTTACTGTTTTTTCCTTAATATTACGAAAAATTTACTCAATTTGAGATGTTTTTCCTTAATTCAGGTTAATGCTAAAAATAGGACGTAATTAATTTGAAGAAGTAAATTTACTGAATATAAGTAATAATTTCCTCAATGTAAGTAATAATTTTCTTAAATAATTTTGAAATTTGTCAGTGCTGGTAAGACAAAGTTAATTGCTTTCCTGCCAAATGTCGGATGTGGCGTCGCGTGAAGACTGCTTGTGGTTCTGAGATCGCAGGTTCGAGTCCGATTGGAGGTGGTTACAGTAAGGTAAGTCAATTATTTCAATTTAAATATAAATTACAAATTCTAAAATTAACTTCATATATGGAAAGCCCTAAATACTCAAATACCATAAAAAATAAATCAGATACATTTTTTTAAATACAATTTAGAAAATTACAATTAAAAAAAATAAAAAAAAAAAAAATATTTGAAAAAAATTTTCTGCTCTGGGAATCGAACCGTGCATCTCTCGACTAGCACACCAGAGCTTTGCTCTGTCGGCCATTGCCACTGTTTGAGCGCCACGAGCAAAATTACATACTTATTCCTTTCACGGGCAATGAAATGGCAAGTAAATTTTTCCTAAAATTAAGGAAACACATTTTCCTTAAACTGAGTCGAATCGTTTACTCATATTAAAGAAGCCATTGCCATTGGAGCCATTGCCTGGTAATCGGGCATGTTCTGCATTTTACTTCCGAGTGAATTTTCATGTTGAGCCTATCTCAAATTTCCGGGTAAAGTGAATAAATTCGAGTGAAAGTGAAATGCAGAATATGCCTAAATATTTCCTTAGAATATGTAAAATACTTTTTTCCTAGCATCAAAGAATGTATTTGCTGAGTGTGGTAACTTGAATATAACTTCGTAACTAAAACTTTAACTTCAAGTCGGCACATGTTATCGTCATTTAGGACAAAAGGCACAAAGGCACAGTATGCCTACCGAACTGCACAAAAAACAAAGTTTCGAGAATACCCTAATGTACATATGTATGTGTGTTGACTTTTGCATCGCTCTGGCTGTAGTATCCTACTTTTCACAAGCTTACAAAATTCGCTGACATCACAACTCCTTGCTGCCATTCAGTGTTAACTTGGCATATGCCAACATCTTTGAGCTGCCAGCTCTATGCAGTAGTGGTAAGCTGGCGTTGGTGACAGTGATGGCAGCCATGACGTTAAGTACGACTTGGACTTTTGGCGGCACTGAATCTACATACATATGTACATGACGATGGTGCCAACGCCAACACACATACATACATACATACATATGTATGGGCATAAATCGGAAGTTGCTCATAAATGTAACATTTTCACCAACATTGTCACAATTGGGCAGACGTGCATATTTCCAACGCCATGCCAGGAGCACTCACCGCCTGCTTTATTTGTGACTTTTTTGCTACTTGCAACTATGTATTTTGTGTGTTGGTGTTACTTTTTAAGCATAGCAAGCTTTGAATTTGTGTAGTTATATGCGAGAATTTTCCCATAAATAGCCCTTTTCCGTTCAAGCCACAATTCTTTGACTTTGCTGATGTACCCGCCATGCTGTTTAATAAAAAAAAAAAAAACATTATTTGCTTGTCAACGCAAAAAAATATTCCGCAAACTCAGCAAAGGATTGACACTTAGTGCAAGCGGACAAACTTAGTGGGTAGAGAAAAAAAATCAAGATAGGGAGTTTACTGCGTAATAACCTATTTCTGTATAGATTTATATTAATTGGGTATTCACTTTACTTTCGTTTGCATTTTACAACCAACTACGAGTATGTTGCTGCAGAGATTTCCCTTGGCACTGGTTCCCAAATAAACGAATTCGTCTACTTTTTCAAACTTGTAACTATCAACAGTGACGTGTGTGCCAAGACGCGTATCCTCTGACTGTTTGTGTGTATCTCCTATACTTCGCTTTGTCCTCGTTCATCACCAGGCCCATTCGCTTCGCTTCGTTATCTTATCCCAAGAAGGCAGAACAGACGTAGTCCTTATTTTACCGATTATATCGATGTCGTCGGCATACGCCAGCAATTGTACGCTCTTGTAAAGGATTACGACCGAGCGGTTCAGTTATACGGCCCTTATTATCTTATCCAAGATCAAATAAAAAAAAAATCACATGAAAGGGAGCCATGATGTCTGAAACCTCGTTTGGTATCAAACGGCTGCGAGAAGTTCTTCACAATTCAGATAGAGCTGATCGTATTGCTCACCGTTGTATCACTCAACCGTACTATTTTCGCGGGGATACCAAATTCAGACATCGCGGGATAAAGACAACTTCTTTTCGTGCTGTCGAAAGCGGCTTTGAAGTCGACAAATGGATGGTGCGTGTCGATCATATTTTCGCAGGCCTTTTCCAAGATTGGCGTATGGTGAACACCCGACCTGTGGTGGATTTATCAGATCTAAAGTCGCACTGATAAGGTGCAATCAGCCTTTCACCATTGAAGACCAATAAAATTTCCTGGACATAAGAATGCGTGATCAGCCTCTTTTCTGGCTAGAATATCTGCCAACTTCATTGCCCATGATTCCACTGTGCGCCGGTACCCAACTGAGGTAAACGCTGTGCGCCGGTACCCAACTGAGGTAAACGCGGTTCCTGATTGCGATAAAGACAGTCCCACACCATATCTGACATAACTTTGCGTGCTTTCAGTGCCGCCCTGCTGTGTAAGTGTATGCAGAAATGCAGAAGTGTTTGTTGGTCGCCAAACTTTCTTCAAACGGTTTCAGCCATTGTTGAATAACGTGCACCTCGGCCTTAAAGGTAGAACTAACTAGTCCCATCAAAGTGAATGAGAGCCTTATGGGTTGTACGCCGTAGGTTCCAGCTCCGATGCCATGATCAGGCTTGGAGCCGTCAATTACCAAATATGGCTTCGGGCGTTCCCTGCCCCAGTTGGTTCTGTTGGGGTAGAAGACTGTGAATTTATGTATGAAATTAAATATCTGAAGGCGCAGGTCTATAAAGTTAATGCGAAGTCCTTTCTCATATTCTATGACCCAGAGAGAAGAAGGGTGTATGAGCTTTTTGTTCCACATTGTCCGCTCAATAGCAGAACCTACTTCTTGATAAAAATTTGTAGCGGAGGCATGTGAAGCAGCTCGAGAACGGCGGCTAATAATGTTCTCAGTGATGCACACGCAGGTTAGTCCTTGTAGTTTACTGGTCTTGGCCGGTGCGAACTTTACTTTTGTATTCTTTCATCACACCTAGGGCTCGAAGTCTATCTAAAGCCTCTTGCGCACGCACATTGGGTCCGGCACCCGGTTGGAATGCAACTCCACATAAGACCAGCCAAGGCGGGTTCTATCCGCAATTGGCTATTAAACAACAGCCACCACGAATACTCCCCGAGGGGCCATAACTAAGAATAGGCCAGAGTAAATATAGCATACTCTGGGGGCTCCTGTTCCTCGTAGTACCAGAATTAAGTCTCTGGTCAGACCTCGTGGCCTCAATGAAAATGTTAATGAAAGCCTTTTCTATGTCTAAACAGGTAGCCAGCATAAAGAGCGAAGCCGGTGCGCAGTCTTTATAATATTTGTATGTACATATGTATATAAGGGTGGTCCTTAAAAAATGAAATGAGCGATTTTTCTCAGTCTTAACCCCATAAATCAGTAATACCACGGTGACAAATATCACATAAAAATTTTGGTCCCGATTTGAGACGGTTAAGGCGTGTCGCACAGGGAGACTCAAAAAATTAAAATTATTATTATTTTTTCTAATGCCCAAAAGCGATACTACAATAGTTGAAGATATCTACTATATATTTGTGGAAGTATGTATGTATGTATATGCCAGATTGCCGCCTAATCAAACGAAATTTTGACAGAGTATTGCCATGACACCTGGTCCTATAATAAGGTAAAACTAAAAAAATTAGCATTCGACAAGGGCGTGACATTTTAATCAGCCATAACTTCGGAACCATAAGTCACATGAACTTGAGATTTAATATGCAGTCATACCTATCATAAGTGGTATTTTGGTACTTTTCAGTCCGATATTTGCGCGGTGGTCACACAAGAGCAATTCCTTTATGTATTAAAACGACCAATAACCTACCTGAAGCATAATATGTTATTGGAACTAGTAATGTAACTAGTACGAAAGCGACAATTGTCACCAACACCGCTGTAGGGATTCAATGACTAATATCCACTAATACAATTTCTTGTGTTATTAAAACAATAACTTAAAAACACGAACAATTGCAGTTCCCTGATGTACATACATACATATATTCACCTATGGATAGACATGTCAACATATACATAAGTAAGTAGGTGTGTATGAATGCATACAAATAACTAAATTAATTTGGAAATCATATTATCTGATTCAGCTCAATGCTACCGGTCATAATATACATACATACATATTTCGTTCATTAATGAATTAAATTCAAAGCCTGCATTGAAGCATTCGCGCTTTAGCAGTCGCTAGCAACGATAGTCAGCATTATAGCTTTCGAATATTAACAATGCACGGAGTCAACACATATCGCTTGCGAAAGCGCATTTCGCGAGTGCTAATTAAAGCTACATTTGTGCTTTCCATCTGCTTCGGCCTGCTGCCGTTCTACTACAACCAGCAACAAAAGCGTTTCACAACTTCGAAATCCATTACTATTTACAACATATTTATAAATATTTTATTCGCCTCAATCATGGTATTTGTTTTGCAAATATTTTCTAATGCCGAAGATCCTTTCCAAACGCGTGATCCACTCGCTGAGCTACTCAATCAAATGGTAACGTATGCCAGCTTTTGTGCGATACTCATTACGTGGTGGATCAATTGGACTGGCCGTAAAGAACTGCAAAAGCTATTCAATGAGTTTGCCGCCATCGATGCTGATTACTGTTATCGCTATCCCAATTTGGTCAACGAATGCGCTCATTTCGACTCGTACTTGATTTGGAAAGGTGCTTCAATTTTACTACAGAATGCTTCGGCGTTCGCGAATATGTGGCTGCTTGTGGATGCCGGTTGGTTATTTATTCTGTGCATTTGCCTAGCAACTGTGCTTACAAATGTACTCTTCCTGGTAATGACGCATTTCTTCATCGCCGTATTGTATACATATCGTTTCGCTTGGGTATCGAATATGCGGCTGCAAATAATGGCGGACAGTGGCAATGAAGTGCAGCAACGCGCTCAATGCCGGTTGGTAAGCTTGGAAATCGATGCTATTGCACACACGTATTTGCGTTTGATACGCTTATGTGAGGGCTACACAAAAATACATCAATATCAGCTTTTATTGGTGGTCGGCTGTATAACCGCTTGCAATATCGAGGTACTATTTTATATGCGACTTCTGTGGGGCGGCAAGGCGTACGAGATGGACGCGTCGAATATTTTTGGAATAATACAAATATTTTTCGTAAATATATTGGACTTTTGGCTGACGATGACAATTTGTGAGTTGGCGGTGGTAACTTCGCAGAAAACATTGCAAATACTGCGCGTTTTTAATGAAAAATGGGACTTGGCGGTGCCTGTGGAACGAAGTGTATGAAAAATATTTAAGTTTATTCTAGCAAGAAATGAACTTCGCTTTTTTTTGCAGTTGGAACGTTTTGCCTTAATTTGCTGCAGTAAAAAGTTGCGTTTTCATTTGTGTGGCATATTTGACATCAATCACCTGACTGGCTTACAAGTTTTATTTACAATGATATTATATCTCATCTACTTAGTACAATATTACCATGACAATTTGTAAGGTACTGGTAAAAGGTGTTGGCATAACTGAATTTGTATTAAGTAAATTTTTAATGATTTTATTTCGTTACTGCCGAGGAAAATAAATATTATAAACACAGATTGGGGCGTGTGTAGCCAAGAGTACGAGAAACTACCCAGCAAAAAACACAATTACCACAGAAACGAAAGTGGAAACGAACTAGACGATGGGAATCGCTTACCCTTTCGCTTCAAGAAGGCATTATTTTAACATTAGCATGTCAGTGGCGGTAAGCCCTTACCCGAAGCATTTCCTACAAACGAAGGGAGAACGCATGGATAAAAATAGTCCAGAGAAGCGAACAAAGAATGCCTTACAGAGAAACGAATGTAGAATGACATACTTATTTATATTACATTGAAAACTGAAAATACAGATTGTCTTAAAAGATTAAAATTAATTAAAATATTTATAAATCAGTTGTTATACATACATATGTATGTATTTAGGTATTTAGATTTTACTTAAAGATCGGTATGTACATACATGCATATTTAATTAAGCTTAAAATTGTACTTCCCCACTCTTGTACTTCACTTCAATGACTGACTTCAACTTCGCTGCAAATTGAACAAAGCAAAACGTGATTTTTATGCGAGAAAAATTTCCACAGAACGTAACGGTAAAAAAGGAATTTTTGGATGTTCATTCTATTTTTCAGCTGACTACGATGCAGCATTCTTTTTTGTATTCCCCGAAATGAAGCAAAGAAGCGAATTAAAAAAAAAAAAAATTATAGGACATTCTACTTTGGATTACCGGCAATGCCTAAAAGAAGCGAAAAAATTCGAAGGCATTATAACGATATGCCTTCTAGAACACATTACTACTATAAGCGATTACCGATTTTTGGCTGGGTATGCACTCTAAACTCTAAAAAGTATTGTATTAAATAATCGATGCTTATGTATGTAAATAAATTTTAATTGTTGATTTAAATGCTGCCCTAATATAATATTCACATATTTATTTATATGAATATGTATGTACATACATACATATCCCTGCAGTACGGGGGAGTGACTACAGGACTGCTGAATCGGTAGGTACCTGATAAACACCGTCAATTACCGACCGACTACTTGGCCTAGGCGGTAGTCACCATCGGCTCTCTCTGCACTACCGGGACTTACTAAAGTAGTCACTTGCGTAATTTATGGGCGCCCTCTGTCGTAGTTTTTCGCTATTCTACTTACGACCGGTTCGACTCTGCACTACCATGTGCACTACCACGGGTTAATAGAGTAGCTACTTACCTTGGAGTCGGTGAAGTAGCGGTTCAAAAGTAGCGATTGACTCCAGCAGTACTGGAGGGATATTAACATATTTTCGTACATAATCTATTGACATACATTCACACACTTTTGTGCCCAAAAAGGCATGTGATGTATAGAACACTCGAGCGCTCGCTCGTCGCTCACTAGTCAGACAGCTACTCGCCTCGGCACTGCGAGCGAGGCAACACACAGCAGCCTCGCTCGCCTAATAGGAGCGCGAGCAAACAAGCGGCGCTCGCTCGTTTGCTGAGCAAGCCAAACTTCTGGTGCCTCGCCTCATTGCTGCTACGAGTACGAGCTGCGAGCGCCTCGTTGCCTGCGAGGCATTGAGTAGGTGTTTGCTCGCTCGCTCGCTCGAACTCCGAGTTTTTGCCTACCCTGGACCCGAGGATCCGTTAGCATTGGCCTAAGTAATACAGTTTTTGCGAACTTAAATAATGTGCACAGATGATCTTATGGAAACGGGAAGTGAGTCGTCACTGGAATCAGTTGAAAATGAGTTCCATCTTTGAGCCCCTCATAAATCTCTTGTACACAAACGAAGTCGAAAATATGATGGTTTGGGTGTCACCTACAAGTTGAAATGAGTTTTTATTTAAATTTTCAAGTCCGAGAACTAAAGCGGAATATCATCGACGCCGAGGAGGAAATGAAAACTGTTCACCCAAAATTTTAGGGACTTTCGAAAAAATATTGTCGATTAGTTGGTGCCTCGGTGCCTGCTGGGCGCCCTTTTTCAAAAGCTAGTGGTACTGCCACGGAGAAACGCAATCGCTTAACAAGAAAAAGGTTCATCAAGCTTTGGTTTTTGCAAACTTGGTTAAATAATAAATAATATCGCCGCTAAAATACTCGTTTTATATTATTTAAGGCTAATTAACAAGAGAATTAGAAATTTTGTATGGAAAAGTGTTTTTCTGAATACTCACTGTACAACTTTTCACGTTTTGGTAATGATATGTATGTGCTATTATAAAGATTTTATAGTTTTTCAAGACCCTTGTAGAGATTTTCTAATTCAGTAGTCGTTTAACTTATAAGGTACAAAATTACTTAACGGAAAGTCTCCGTATTTAGAATTAAACGTGACTACAATTTTTATATCTTTGTAGGTCTTTGGGGAAGAATTTGGCAGGACTTGAAATTGACCCGATTCATCCGAATTAGTCGATAATTTCCGATAATTTGATACATATCGACAAATCAATGTGTTTCAAAACACTAAAATCCGATAACTCACCAAAATTTTAAGACTCGACTAATTTTCGATAAATGTGCGTTTCGAGGGCTCGATAAATTTCGAGAATGCAAATATATCGACATAAATAGATAGCTCGATAAACTTTGGATATCTCTATAAGATTCGATAACCTACCAAAATTTGAAGACTCCATATTTTATGAAGCTATCGCCAAATATCGATAGCTCGTTACGTTCTGGTAACACGACAAAATTCGATTAGCATTGATAACTCGTTAAGCTTACATATATACCTAGGACATTTCAATAACTCCATAAATTTTGAAAACTCCAAAAATTCAGTTCGGAAGTTCAAGAGATTTCAGTAAATGAATATCGATAACTCGATAATTTCAAGGAATTCGATGCATTACGATAAATCGATAAGTCTCGTTAATTCTACAAAAAAAAAAAACAATAAATCAAAAAATATTGATAACTTGATAAATTTTAATAGCCTGATAAATTTCTGTGATCAGATAAATTTATATAGCTCGATAGCTCTCCATCAATTTCGACAACAAATTTTATGTGCCTAAAAATTTCGACAACTCAAAAACTATTGATCAATTTGCATAATTCGATACTTTGCGGTAACTCAATAAACATGGATAATTAGAGAAATTTCCGTAACTTTATAACTTTCGATAATAAATTTTTTTACGACTGAATTTATTTCCATTCCTATCGAAAAATTTGAATAAATTTTCTATCCAATGCTTTTGAAATCTATTCAGTAAAATCGCCAAATGAACCGTGAACAAAAATTATGTTTGCGTATTAATATATAGAATATGTATGTAGATGTAGTGCGCAAAGGCCCAATCTACATTTGTGTATGTGATTTGTATAAATGTTCATTGTTCATGTTGGCCACGCCCTTTTTTCTGATCTCGGCAATCAAAATATCAATGAATACATATTTACGTAAGGGTGTATCAATCTCTATCAAAAATTAAACGCTATAGTTTTCCCATCGGAATAATAAAATTATTATATTTTTCTATTCTTATTCAGAAAATATAAAGTAGCTTTGCAAAAGGTTTATAAATTGAAAAATGTATGAAAACGTCAATTTATAAAGCTTTTTAAACCTACTTTATTTTTTATGAATAAGGCCATAAGACTTTCCACAAAATATTTCGAAAAAATATGGGAATTTTTGTGAGCCGTGCCGAGCCGAAAATATCTCTAAAAATCTCATTATTTCGATTCTGCACAAAAAAAAAAATTAATATTTCCATTGAGACCTTTTAAACTTCAACTCATCTATTATCTGCGATATTTTTTTGGAAAAAATTTTCAAAGTTAATTTAATAAAAAATCGATTTTTGGAGGTATTTTAAAATGGGGCCAGCTCACGTAAATCTTAATATTTTTTCGAAATATCGTGGCCTGACACACATAAAATAGAATAGGTTCTATAACTCCGGTGGAACATTTTTGAAGTGGAACTTCTTTAGCGGCGGCTGGTTGCTTGGGAGTAAATTGTCAAATTCAGCGGAAATTGCACACGGAAATGGTGCAACGGAAATGGTTGGGACTGAAACAAGTGCTTCTTGTGTGTATGCATATGGCATTAATTTAACAAAAATGTGCTAATAAAAGGTTAAAGAATAACACTTAGAAAAAGACCAATACAAGAATGAAAGTAAAGGTGACTACGTACATAGATAAAGAAAAGGATAAAGGCAAAGGTAAAAATAAAAACACAAACAAAGATGCGTAAAGATAAAGGAAAAAATGAAGACCAAGGTAAATTTAAACACTTTACTTATATATATAAGGGCAAAAGTGAAGAAAATGATAAACATAAAAGTAATGACAAAGAGGGGGATGAGTATACCGATAAAAGAAAAGATGAAGAAAGGGGAACAAAGATTAAAATAAAGGTAATTAAAGGGGAAATGATATAGAGACACCCACAGAGACTCAATCTGGGAACTATTTTGGGATATTAGAGATTTTCGGGATTTTCGGGACTTATCGATAAGATAATTGATATTTTTATTTGTTTTGTTATCGATATTTTTATCGATTTTTTTATCAAAATTTTTATCGATATTGTTATCAATTCTGCTATCGATATTTTCGGAACTAGTCGATATAGTAATCGATATTTTTATCGATTTTGTTATCGATATTTTCATCGAATTGTTATCGATTTTGTAATCGATATTATTTGCTATTTAGTTAGCGATATTTTTCATCGATTTTGTTATCGATATTTTTGTCGATTTTGTTATTGATATTTATTGTTTTTTTATCGATATTTTATCAATTTTGTTATCGATATTTTTTTGTTTTTGTTATCGATACTTTTATCGAATTTCTAATAGATTTTGCTTCCAATATTATTAACGAGTTTTCTATCGAAATTTTTATCGAATTGTTCATCGATTTTGTTATCGATATTTTTATCGGTTTTGTTATCGATATTTTATTGGATGTTACTATCGATTTTGTTTTCGATATATTATAAAGATCAAAATAAAGATAAAGGAAAACAGAATAACATAAATGTAATTAGAACGAACAGGGGTAGGGGTAGGGATCTACATAGAAAAAAGACAAAAAATACAACCTTGAGCATAAGCGGATGTATGTATGTATGTACATATGTATTTATGTATGTATATTGGTTATGAGACAAAATAAATATGTATGTAACATAAATTTCACTTCTCCAGTGTGGCCCAGGCGCACTTACTTTTTTTTTTTTTTTTTTTTGGTGAGGCACCCTAATGCACATGTAGTATACCACTCTGGAAAAATACAATTTTACTTTTCTGGACGTTGAACGCTTATCGACGCCTTCCAAATATTTCCGATTGTTAGACACGCCTGGTATTTTATGTAATATACAACAAAATGTATATAAAATATTTATGCAAGTATGTGTGTAAATAGGTACGAGCACACTCGCATGTATACAAATCTCTATTAATTATGTAGTGGCTATGCAGTTGCCTATATGTATGTATATTCATGCTTTTACCACTCAAGTGCCTAAATAATATTCATTAAGAAAATAAATATCAGTACTCTTATTGGCTGCGGAAATGCACACATTTCAAAGCGGGCGTCGAAAACTTGCTAATTTTTTAGAATATGCAACTTTTGAACTTTCATTCATTTTCGGTTTATTGCCATTCAAACACGACAATAGGACTGGAAAATTTCGATCATCTAGAGCAGCGCTGATTTACAGTTGCCTACTGAACTCAATTATTTTCTTTTGTTGTACAAAATATTTGCCCGATATATCGAACGATGAGTTGTTCATACAAAATTCACTGCTTATCTTAATAGACAATACTATGTCATACATCAAACACGGTGCGTGGGCTATAATATTTTACAAAATCTGGACCGGCAAACATCTCTTGTTGCGGCTGTATAGAGAAATGGCGTCAATAAAAAAGATGTGCTTCAAAATGGCGTTTATCTGCAATTTTGGCAGCAGCAGCAGCACTAAAGACAAACGGATTATATGGAAATTCATTTTAATGGTATTGGATATAATATTCTTTCTCATAACAATGTTGACTTCTGACTTTAAGAAAGATTATCTTTACATCTTTCTGATAACTTGTGGTGTTGTGATCTTAACTGAAATCGATTTGATAATGAATCAATTCTATCACAACGTACTGTATATAAATGATGTTGTAACGGCCATAAACAATCAGCTACGTAGCCTGAGAACAAGCAAGCATTTGGCAGCTAGTAAAATTAATGAACTATTTTGTGTTTACATACGTTTGATGCGTCTGACGGCGAACTTAATGGCTGCCTATGAACATCAGTTATTTATTATTATCTCATGTAGACTTTTTATTACTGTACAGAAAATATCCCAGATTTGCCTGACGTTTGGCGGCAAAGAATTGCATTCCAATACGATGGGTGTTATGTTTATTCTACATATCGTATTCTCATTTTTGTTGAAACACTGGACTTTTATGAACGCTTGCGAATCGGTGCTTAGATCTCAGCAGCAAACCGAAGCGGAGTTGCGAAAATTTAATAACTTATGTATTCTGAATGCAGACCTATCAAAGGAAGTAAGTGACTATTTATTTATATTTAAAGAATTTTCTGTAACTAAAGCAAATTTTCTAAATTTTATTGCAGTTAAATACCTTCACAATATTTTGCGCTATTCATCGCTTTCGATTTCCTCTGTGTGGAATGGTCGAAATAAATTTCATCACCGCACGAAATTTGTGTACGCTGGTACTAACGGCATTGCTCTGGTTGATCCAATTTCAGTTGGTCACGAACAAAGTTGGGCATTAAAAGGATTAGTAGAGGCAACCTACATATATTTAAGATACACAATAAGTATGTATATGACAATCACTTTATGTTCTTAAGTTTGTTGTTTCTCTAACAGCCCTATTCCAAGGTAGCACAAGGGGGCCGTAACGGTTAAGTGCTTCATAATAAAAATCACAATTTCACCATTAAAGTGAAATTCCATTTTCTGATCAAATTAGTTTTATTTTTTGATTTTTATTTTTTTTATATTTTAATTTGTATTTTTTTCTGGTCACATTATAACCGTTTTTCCCGATTTGATTTTGTATGTCATAAAAGATTTAAATCGGTTATAGAAACGCAGTCCCCAACGTAACGGCTAAAACTTCATCGTGTTTGATTTTTTTTTTTTTTTTTCAACGTGAATAGTTGCCAAACTTTATGGAGTATGCTGTAAAAATTTGTGAATAGAAACACCAAAACTGTTGAAGTTACGAGCTTTTCATACCTGCGTACATAAAGTTTATGAAAAAACTCATAACTTCTACAGTTTTGGTGTTTCCATTTTAAAATTTTATAGCTTACTCCATAAGGTTTGAAAACTATTCAGGTTGAAAAAAAAAAATAATAAAAATCAAACATGATGAAGTTAGTAAAAAAAAACACATTTTTTGTAAAACAACAAAATCTAAGAAATTTGTATTAATCTCATAATTTTTCCAAATCTTTGTTTATTAATTTTTTTTCAAATTTTTTCTTGAAATTGTTTTTTTGCTATCTTTTAAACTGTTGGTATACAAACAATAATTTTTTTTTATTATCTTTTTCTACATTATTTTTCCGTAAACCATCTTAAAATTGTAGTTTTTGCCCTAAATTGATTTCTTTCCCCAAAAAATACTTATGAATTTTCGCAAAAATTTTTTTTCCAAAAAATAAATTTTTTAATTTTTTTTTTACAACAAATTTTTCCCGAAATAATTAATTGTAACCCAAAAACTATTTTTTCTCATATTTTTAACGTACTTTCTTTTTCTTGTATTTTTTCTTTAATATTTTTACTCAAAAGAAAATTTCTTAAAAATTGTTAATTGACAAAAAAATTATATCGATAAATTTTTTTTAGATTATTTTTTTCGTAATTGCCAAAGGATATAGATCATCGAACGAAGGATCCGAATAGTCTTTTATGATGTCAATATATTTAGAAGCGCTTCAATGTCCTTTAATTATTTAATGCCAGTCCATAAAACCTAAGTATGAAGTGTCACTCCAAACCATATCGCTTTATTGAAACTTTTATCAAAACTAATGCGAATACACTAATTTTTCTTAATGGCAATTTTTATCGGATCACTATTGTATGTATTAACTTTATTTCGAATATAAATTGGCTTCCAGTATCTGGTGAAACATCAAACGAGCTTTGTTTTTTTTGTACATACATATGTAGTACTTATGTACAGTGGCGAAAAAATAAATGGGGACGCAATTATTTAACACGTTTTGGCTATTTGTACAAGCTTTTATTGGGATTCACCTGTGTGTAATCAAGTATTGCAATAAATTTGTAACCAACTTCCCAATAGCTAGAGACTTGAAGCTTCAAGCTTAACTTAGAATCCGATGTTAATGCAATATGAAAGACTAATTAGTTCGCTAGGCGGCACAGGTGTTGAGGCATTTCAAAAACCCGTATTTTCGCATCGCTCCAACAGTCGCAATGGCCGAATGAACAAAGGCGTAGGCATTCCATTCGAGAGATCCGAGTTCGAGTCCTCGGGCAGCAGATTTTGTGTTTTTTGTTAAATTTAAATTTGTTTTTTATCTAATTTCATTTAACTTTTAGAAACGTGTTTTGTGTATCTTTTTTTAATTCATTTTTCTTCTGATTTTAATTTGCTTTTAATTTTAAGATGTTATTCATTTAAAAAAGAAATTTTTTAATTTCGTTTAATTTTTAGGAATTTATTTAATTTTTTTCTGTTTTTAATTATTATTTTTTCTTCTTTAGGGTAATTTTCCGTTATTATTTAGATTTTACTGTTTTTTTCTTATTTTATTAGTTTTTCTTTGTTTAATGTAGGATTTTTAGTTTTAAAATTTAGTTGTAAAAATATTTTTTTGTCGTTATTTTTAAAATTTTTAAGTACTACTTTTTTATTAAATTTTTTTTTTTTTTTAATTTAATTTTTAGATTTCATTGGTTTAAAAAATATACATATTTTTGTTTTATTTAATTTAGTTTTTAAAAATATCTATTTTTACTTTATTTTCGTTTAACTATTTTTTTTTT